TAATATTCTAAGATAATAATTAATAAATAATAAATAATAAAATAATAAACTAATAATTAATTCGTTCTATAACACTACGCATACGTACAACTAAATATCTAAATTAAGGATGTATTGAAAAATACCTAAAAATTTATCTAGCATATAGGTACTGGAAAGTAAAATATTGGCTAGTTTAATATTAATAACAAGAGGGAATGTCTAAATATAGATATGATTTTTATTCACTGTTATACAGATTACTTATTGTATCGACTAGTCAAATATCACCACAGGATTAGTCAACCAATCAAATTGCGAAATTTACAAAAAGATGAAACCGTGAGATTCAAGGTGATTCAAAAAATATGTTGTAAAGCAAAGTGAGAGCTTCATGTTTGTTTAAAAATTTTTAATATTTATATAAAACATAAGTCAAGCAAGCCTTCCAAAAAAGTATTGTAATAAAATAATATAAAAAAATTTTTTATCAATTGTGTACCAATTTTGTGATGTTTCAACATTTCCTCCTGTTAATATTAATATCATATCTACATCATAAATTAAATTACATTGTTCCTGTTCTACACAAATAAATTATGTCAACATTATTAAAATTTCATTTGAACGCTTGCCCAATATGTTTAGTATGTTTAATTTGTGCGAAAGTTTATGAAAAAAATTGTTCTTGTCAACCAATAAAACTTTACAAGAAATATAAAAAAAGTTCTGGATATCAAATTAGCTTTTATAATAAATATATTACACGAATAGGTGCCAATATTAAAAAGTTAGATATGATTAAAATTCATCGATTGGACTAAAAATTTAACTAAAAATTCAACTAAAGTTGAGATTCTAAAAAATCAAGACTTTATTAATATTTGTTTAAAAATTATGATTAACAAAATCAAAGCTCACAGTAGATCTAACAATTAAAGATTCTCTAAAATCTTTATCATCTATGACAAATACTTTTGAGTTATCTGACTTGTCTTAAGTGACCATAACTAATTCAGAAATTAATAGTGAAAAAGATCCTGAATTAGAAGCTATTAATACAAAAGAGCCTTTTATAAAATTGTTAAAAGTTTACAAAATAAAAATATATATAAATATATGAAATATTACCTTTTTGTGAAGTCAGATTCTATCTTGGATTGTAATTCATACAAGTACCAGTCAGGTTTGTCTTTTATTAAAACTTGAAAATAATTTATATCATTTATATTTAAAGAATATGGTTTTCCCGAAAGTTATGGAAGTTTTTCAATACAACTATATTTTTGAAAATGCACATATGGCCTAAATTTTTTTCAATAATTTGCTAGCAAATATGGTTTGAAAATATTATAATTTTTTGAATTTAACAAGAAATGTGTACAATTTTTTATTTATATTAGCCACTGATTTTAAATTATATATATATTATTGTATTATATCAATTTTTATTGAATTTATTATGCCGAAAAAATAACCGGCCAAAAAATTTTTCGGCTAATTTTTTTATAAGTGTCCCAGGAACAAAGATGGTAAATGACCTTCAAATGACCTCAAACAATCTCAAAACGACCTCAAATGACTTTAATTTTATTATAAATTTTGGTTGGAAATGATTTTGGTTATTTGAAAAAAGGCAAATGATCTCAAATTTTACCATCTTTGCCCAGGAATAATGAAAATAGCTGTAATGCATGTTTGATAAGCTAATTTCTAAATGTAGAAGCAAAGAAATAATACAGTCTGTATTGTCTAATTGCATACTATCTGTGGAGAATTTTTTTATGCATATAGACAATATATGTATTTAAGTCATAAGAACTATTTTTGTATTAATAATTAAAAGTCAAAATTTTTTATGCATTTAGAGAGTATATGCAATTAGACAGTATCAACTGTATGAAGATTCGCATTATAATATCTGCATTATGTTTTAACTTTGTGATATGTGTATATTGAAAAAAATAAAAAATTATACTTTACTATATTGGGCTAAAATGTTGTTTTTAATTAATATTATATTAAAATTTTATTACTTATGTATCAAAAACGATACTTCAAACAATGAGCAGTGGCGCAGTATATACTATGTGTCGTTTTAGCCCTGCTTCTGATACTTCCAATAAAGCAAATTCCTTCTTATTGTATTTATCAGTAATCATTTTCACTTGGTCTATTTACTAAACCACGATGAGCAAATGTTGGAGAAAGATACTTCTCAAGATTTTTCAGATAAATGAGAAGTAGATGAGACATTGTTTCGATATTAATTTTTCCTGTACATTTTTGGTTTGTGAACAAAACAAGAACCACATAATAGTTGTTCTTATAATTTTCTACTGATTTCATTGTTATATCGTACCAATCTTTAATATCTGGTGTTGATATTCTAGTTGTTATACCGCGTTCTGAGTACTTGATTTGTAAAAAGATTGCTAATTTTTTTCTATTATTGGCAGAATTAAGAATCTAGCAGTGATCAATATTAGCATTTCCTTGGTAACAACGAAAAATGCTCTTTTCAAGTGAGCGGGTTACATTGTCATCACATAATACTAACTTATCAAAACTTGCAACATCATCTGTCTTTACAAGAAACTTCTTATTCTCAGTAAAAAGTTTGAAACTATGTAATTATACCTTGCGTTGGAGAAGTGTATTAACACCTAAAGCGCCACGAAATATATCAGATAGTTTCCAATTACTACTTTTTTGATGGTCAAGTTCTTCTTTTCGCAAATCGATTTTGCGAATAATCTTAATTTGTTTATTGATATCCTTTTGTTTCTCTAACTGTAACTGAAGTTTGTCAATTTCATAAACAACAGAATTGATCCTTGACTCTTGAACGTAAATTAAATTATCAATAAGGGCTTTTTGAAAATGCCCATATAAAAGGTCGAAATTTTGCTATTGCCAAGGAGTTTCATGTGTTGAGATTAAAAGAAGATTATCTTGAAACACAAGTTCTATATTAGATATCAGGAGCTTGTTGTTGAGAACTTTTAATAGCATAAAGAGCATGATGATAGTATACCATTTATTTTTAGTGTTAAAAAGATAAATCAAACCAGATCGCTCAAGTTTGCCAATGGATGTGCCACTTTTTAGTCAAAAATCTCGCTTGATATGTTGCCTAGTAAGCCCAAATGAGATCACAGTATGTATATCATTAAGTTCCTTCCAATCACCTAGATTATTTCTAATTTTAGCAATGTTCTGCTGTGATATTTTAGTAAAAAGTTGATTTCCTCAGTCAAAATACGACATAAGGATAGAAGGGCTTAAAAGATCATCAATAAATTTTGGAATGAAGCCAGTGTCGTACATGGCAATACGAAAGTGTTGTTGATTCAGGATAAAGTTACAAAAATCTGCTGAAAGCTTTTTGACTTTTTTATTATTAAGATCAAAAGAGTGATGTAATTTGAGGCCTTGCATCATTAGATTTCTTCCTTCATCAGTTGTTTGCTTTGAATAATTATATTTGTCAAGAAACATTGACTTTGCTGAGATATAATTCAAAGGCTTGAGCTCAAACATTTCTTGAGTATGCTCTGTAGATAAAAAATGTACATCTATAGCAGATATTCTCGTACAGATTAAAACGATAAAATATTTTTTATCATGCTCATCTTTTATATTATTACTATACATGATACTATCAATCTCCCTTAGCATTGATTTAAAGAAATTGTGAAAATGTATCCATAATAATTGTTGATATAGTTAAACATCATTAATATAAATTTGATATTCATCAAGATGGATGATGATAATATCAACTGAATGCTGTTGCATTTTAAAGTGACGTTGAAGTATCTTACAAATCACATTAGAAAGCCAGAAGTGTTGTTTATTGTCTGTATTTAATAAGTCATATAGAGAATGCTTAAGCACCAACTCTGAAGCCATTGCCACACGTGTTCCTATTCACACACTTGGAGTTTCCTTATTATCAAAGTCTCTAATATATTTACTTTCATTATTTAAGTCAATAAAGACATAGCAAGGGTCTTTTAGAGCTTCTACAAACTCAATAGTGTTGCTACTTCTTGTTAACAGTAAAGATGACAGATGCTTTGATTCCCAGCCTATCTGTGTCTTTTCTATTCCTATCCCTCCAGAAATTAAAATAAATCTATAATCTTTGCGGTCAGGACTGTTGCAACTCTGATAGTTATAGCAAGCAACTTCTAACATCGAATTTAGAGCCTGATTACGATCGATAGTAATAGTTCTTTGAATATTATCACTGTTCTTATCATTATATATACTATTATAAAATCTGGATACATGTATTCTGGATATTTTTATTACTTAATTTAGTACTTGGGATACCTTTATATAGGGTATACTATATTGAGACAATATGTTTTACTATATCTACCTGGATGATATATATAGTATGTATAATACTATATACCCGGATTTTTCCCAATATTACTACCAAAATATTACAATCACGTAACTATTGAAAAATTCTTTAAGTTTATTTAGATTAGGGTTAGGATTAAGATTCGAGTTAGGGTAAGTGAGAGCTATAGATAAAATTGCTCAAGAAAAACTTTTTGTTAAAGACTAAAGTGGTTTCTTATTCTACTTTTTGAAAAACAAGTGATTTTTGACAAAGCAAACATTTGTTTTGAATTTTCCTGATCATGTAATATTACACCTAATCTTGAAATCTGATTTGTTTATACCACAAAAATTGTTATGTGACTGTAACATTTTGGTAGCAATACTGGAGTAGTTATATATCTAGGTATAAATCATAAACTGGCGCTTCAAACTAGCAAGAGGTATACTGTATAGGCGGTATACATGTTTGGATTTTATGGTATATACTTTATATATATATTTTATAATAATAACAAAGATACAGTTAAACTAAGTTAAGCATGATAGTTTGGAATAATAAGTCTATTCTATATTAAAATTAGTTATAAAGCATAGTTCATATTCTGTGAATATTGCTATGTATTAATTAAGAATGTTTAAAACTACAAAAACTCAATTTGCACTCATAGATATATAGAATATGCTAAGAGAATAAATACAATACTGATACTGATTAAAAAGTAATATGTTTAACTATCAAAAAAAAAACCTGATATTGATATTTATATAAATTTAAAAGTTAAAAACTTGCAACTTATCATATTAGCTATAAACTAGTGCTCCTAAGTCTGGTCCGAGATTAGACCAGACTTGGTTTCTAAATTTTACTAATTTTAAATTTCAAACCAGACTAAGGCGTAATTATGAGTTCAACCCGGGTCTAGTCCGAAGTATGCAGACTAGTCTGAGTTCGAATATATTTATATGTATTTTTTAGTACTGAACAAGTTTATTTAATATTTGAAGTTAGAATTAATTAGAGGCTAACAAATATTAGCTCATTATACCCCCTAGGATTTTCACTTAATCCCACCCAGAGTCAGTTATTTGACACAGTAAAATTTACAAAAAATGTATAATTAGTTTTTTTTAACAGTTGACAACACAAACTATTAAAAATCTAATTATACATTTTTTGTAAATTTTACTATATT